TTTTCTTTCTGCTTGCAGTCATACATGTTCAATGTAAAATAAATGCAGATATAACACAGAAAATAAAAAATGCCAATAATATACCCTCCTTAAGTAGGAATAGCAATTTGTCCAAATTTTTTCTTTTTTTTTAAATAATCACTTCTTAAATGAAATATATCGTACATTGCAAAGAAGATATGTAACTATATGTATAGTTTAAAGGGAAAAAAAAGAGATTCGTATACCCCCCCTCCTTAGGAAACAGAGCATCATCAGTGCTTTAAAGGAAGCTCTCTGTGTGCCTTTTCTACACTGCATTCTCCCCAGAGGTAATCACTATCCTGAATTTGGTATTTATTATTCCTTTGCTTAGGGTTCATAGGGTTTGTCTCCTTTAATCTATAGTATGAATTATGTTGATACATTATCTAACATTGAACAAACCTGAATTCCTGAGATAAACCTAACAAAGTCATACTTTTTAATATTTTTTCTAAATTAGTAGATTAACTTTGCTAGTACTTTGCTTAGGATCTTTAAGTCTATGTTTAAGAGTAAAATTGGCCCCTAGTATTCCTTTCTTTTATTATTTTCTCTGGTCTTGATAGTAAGGTTATTCTAGCCTCATAAAATGAGCATTCCCTTTTTTCCATTATCTTTTTTCTATTTGTGTAAGATTGCCATTATCTATTTCGTGAATACTGTAATAGTCTATAAAACTTATTGAGCTTTGTATTTTCTTTCTTAATTATTGATCAGATTTCTTCAATTTCAAAATCATTCACATCTTTTTTATTTCCAACTCAGTTCTTATAATTTATGGTTTTATAGTGATTTGTCAATTTCATATAGTTGTCAAATTTCATAAGTTGCTTGTATATTTTCTTAGCTGCTACAGCTATAGTATGCCCCTTTTCATTCTAAATTATTCGTTTGCTTGTTTATTTATTTATGTAGTTATTTATTTGCCCTTTTTGCCAGGAGTGTGTTCATTTTATTAACCTTTGTAAAGAACCGTTTTTTGGCCTTTTAAGTCTTCTGTTATAATATTGCTTCTACTTTGAGGCATTTTTAAAAACTATTTAAGCTGATGCTTCACTGTTTAGTTTTGAACCTTTCTCTTTTTAATATAAACATTTAAGGCTATTAATTTCCCTCTGGATATCACTTTAATAACATCCCATAGGTTTTGCTGTGAAGTTGTTTTTTTTTTAACTTTTTATTATGGGAAGTTGCTAACAAAAAAAAAAAAGAGATATTAAAATGAATCCATGTATTCCCATCGTCCAGTTTCAACTATTACCAACATTTTGCCAGTCTTTTTTCATCTATTTCCTGTTCTTTTTCTTTCTCCTCCATTTCTGGAGTAATTCCAAGTAAATCATTTTTACCTATGTATATTTCAGTGTGCATCTGTAATGGATAAGGACTTTTTTTTTTTTAAATAATTACCTAACAAAGTTAACAGTAATTCCTTAATAACTAATATCCAATCTATGTTTATATTTGCTCAGTTATCTCAAATTACTTTTGAATTTCCATTGTGATTTCTACTTTGACCCTAAATAAATGTGTCTCTTTAAAGTTGTCTTTTTGTTCTTGTTTGTGTTTTGTAACCTAATTTTTTTGTGTACCTCTGGCAATGAAATTTATTAAGACTTTTTTTTAAAATAATTTATATTT